AAAAGAAAAGAAAAAAGAAACCAGTTTGTCATTGGCCTTGAAGTTCAGAGTGGAACTGAGCACAGTGCAGTAAGAAGGGGCCTGCTTGGGTGTGTGTGTGGAGAGTAAGGCCGTCACCTCCTGCCTGCCACATTCCGTATTTCTCTGGAGACCGTCTAAGATCACGTTAGCTTTTCTAGCATCGTTGTTTCCTTGTTTTTGCCAGTACGGAGCCACACTTGTGCCTTTGGGGTCACACGTGGGGGCCAGAGGTCAACGGCACGTGTCTACCTCGACTGCACGCCACCTTCACTTTTGAGATAAAGTCTTTCACTGACCCTGGAGCTCCACCATTCTGCCAGGTTGGCAGTCCAGCTGGCGAGCTCCCAGGATGCACCTGTCTTCACCCAGCCAGCATGGAGCTGACAGAACTCTCTGTGCCCAGACTTCTTTTTTTCTTTTTCCTGTTTCTTTTTGACAAGGTCTCCCTCCATAGCCCAGGCTAGCCTTGGAGCTGCAGGGATCTCCTTGCCTCAGACTCCTAAGTGGTAGCATCACAGGCGTGAGCCACTATGCCTGGTTCTGCCTGTCCTCTGTTGAAGCCGTTTCCTCTCTGTCTTTCTGGACCTGACACGCTGTTTACATGTGGTCTGCAGCGACCTGAGTGGCCATGCTGTTCTTTTTCCTTCCCCCCTAGTTATACATAACTTAGGCAAGCCCTTCGTGAAAGTTCAGCAGGACAGCGCTAGAAAGGGCTGTGAATAAATGAAAAGCTGAGGTCCCGGGTGGGCGGGAGATAAGTCGGGTGTTTCCCAGCCTGCTTTTTTTTTGTTGGGGGACAAAGAAGAGGTATAGGAAGCTCAGGCTGGGGTGGGGAGCTGGGCTCAGAACCCCATCATCTCAGAGCACCCAGAGAAGCTGCAGAGTCCCCCCCCCCCTGCCCAGTGTGTGCCTCGACTGCCCGCTGACATCCCTGCCTGTGCTCACCAGCTGTGCCCCTTAGGAGAGGCACTGTGTGCCACTCAGAATCCTCACCTGGAAGCCTGGAGGCCGGAGCCTCAAGACTGGAGCCTCAGTTCCCCGGCTTCCTGCCTCCCCATAAAATCATGAAAGGTAGCAAGTCCTTAGGCCTTGGGAGTTATAGGCTCCTTTGAACTGTGGACAGAGATCCTGCCACTCATGTCTACACACAAAAACCCTTAGTCTCTTGGCCAAGAATGCCAGACTAGAGACACTCAGAGGGCTTCCTGACTTTGGGGGACCCATGAGTGTATGCTATGGGTAAGCTGGGCCCAGGGCACACATTAGCACAGGCATGCATAGGATGCCTTTGAGTCTGCTCTTCCATCCAACCCGCACAACAACCCCAGGAGAAAACAGGTCGTCTCCCCCACTTAGCAGACGACGAAGCTGAAGTCTGAGGCCTGAGAACTCTCATTCAAGGCCAAACAGTACCTTAAGTAGCCACATAGGGAACTGTGCCCACGGCTCTGTGTTTAGCACTACCATAGGTGACTTCACACCCCAAGCCTGTGCCCGAGGAGACATCTGGACCCACCCGTACCCGTCAGCTTTACGTGTGTCTGTGTTTTCAGGGACTCACTCCAGGCCACCCAGTGTTTCTCTGTGGGAACCAAGACTCACACCAGAAGCCACACCCTAGGCAGCAGCTGAGGCCCAGTTACCTCTTCCAGACAGGCAGCGTGTGGTACAGACGGCGGCTTCTTATCAGAAGGTGGCTTGGATTAAATCTAAATGAAGCACATATGGCCAGGCTGAGGAAGGGCCAGGGTGGTGATGGTGGCGGCCATGGGCTGGTAGGGAGGGGCAGGAGGGAGGGCAGGAAGAGCTCCTTGCAAGTTAGTGTTACCTCCCTCTGCGGGCCCTCGCTGCCCCTCCCTGTGGCCCAAACATCCCCCAGGCTCAGACCCTATTGCTATCCTGACTGATTTTCCTTTCCTTTCCGGTCCTTCCAACAAGGCTGTGTTCCGTCTTGTTCATGTGCTGAGGGCGGCAGAGGTTACATGGCAGAGTTCTTGGGGGGCTCACTGAAGAGGGTACAGGGAGGCTGTGAGAGCCGTCTCGGACTCACCATAGCTGTGGCTGCCTGCCTAAGACCAGCACAAAATCAAGCCAGTCAACATTCCGGCAGGGGGTGGGGGGTGGGGGGAAGGGGGAGGCTATGAGCGCCCACCCCTAGCTGAGGGGCTGTTGAAAGTTGATGGATGCTAAGGGAGAGACTGTCAGTTCTATTTAAGGGTGTGGACCCTGGTAGGTAGGCCATGCTCCTGTGGGTGGCCCCATGCCTGTGTGTATCTGGTCAGCACAAATTGCACTCAGTGGTTCGAAACAGGAAAAAAAAAAAAAAAAAGACATGAATTGGGATGAGGTGGGTGGAAAGGTGAGTGTGGATCCAGGAGGAATTTGGAGGAGGAGCAGAGGGGGCGGAGAGTGAATGTGATTGAAATGCAATGTACATATGTGTGAATTTCTCACAGACTTGATTAAAAATAGAATATATATTTAAAGATACAGTTTCTATCTTAGCAACCTGTAGGATTATAAGAGAACAGCCTTAAAAATCTAGCTGGACTGTGGTGTCGTGCACACCTTTAATCCCAGCACTGGGGAGGCAGAGGCAGGCGGATCTCTGTGAGTTCGAGGCCAGCCTGGGCTACAGAGTGAGATCCAGGAAAGTCACAAAAACTACACAGAGAAACCCTGTCTTGAAAAAAAAAACAAAAACAAAAAACAAACAAACAACAAAAGAAAAACTTGTTAACTAGGGAAAGAGACAGATGAATTCCCACCTAAGCTTAGCTGGCTCTGCCGTGGCAGCAGAAGAGGTCAGTGGGGTTATTACCCACGCAAGGGGGTGACTAATACCCACTGATAAGATTTAGAAACCTTCTTAAGGATGGCTGCGCTTGAACTTGACCCTTGGGGAAGACTTGGGTGAACATGAGGAGCTTTCGGGTGAGGCGATTGCTCGGGCAAGGGTGCAGATGTAGGACAGCCAGGGGCCTCCCTGGCCGAAGCAGAGAAAGCTTTGAGTCAGGTGCGTGACGGTGGGCTGGAAGCCGCTGTGGAAACCCAAGGGCGGTGGTCAGTGAGGTGACCGTGACTCACGCAGCTTCTCTCTCCCAACACAGGCCATGCCACTGAGACATTATCTCCTTCTGCTGGTGGGCTGCCAGGCCTGGGCTGCGGGCTGGGCCTACTATGGCTGTCCTAGCGAGTGCACCTGTTCCCGGGCCTCCCAGGTGGAGTGCACAGGGGCACGGATTGTGGCCGTGCCTACCCCTCTGCCCTGGAATGCTATGAGCCTGCAGATCCTCAACACGCACATCACTGAAATCCCGGAGTCCCCCTTCCTCAACATCTCAGCCCTCATCGCCCTGAGGATGGAGAAGAACGAACTGTCCAACATCATGCCAGGCGCCTTCCGCAACCTGGGCTCGCTGCGCTACCTCAGCCTTGCCAACAACAAAATACGGATGCTGCCTCCTGGCCTCTTCCAGGGCCTGGACAATCTGGAATCCCTCCTTCTGTCCAATAACCAACTGGTTCAGATCCAGCCAGCCCAGTTTTCCCACTTTGGTAATCTTAAGGAGCTCCAGTTGCACGGCAACAATCTGGAATATATCCCTGAAGGAGCCTTTGACCACCTGGTGGGACTCACCAAGCTCAACCTGGCCAAGAACGGCTTCAAGGATCTCTCACCTAGGGTCTTCCAGCACCTTGGGAACCTCCAGGTGCTCCGGCTACACGAGAACAGGCTTACGGACATCCCCATGGGCACTTTCGATGCCCTTGGCAACCTCCAGGAGCTGGCCCTCCAGGAGAACCAGATTGACATCCTCTCCCCTGGCCTGTTCCACAATAACCGCAACCTCCAGAGGCTGTATCTGTCTAACAACCGCATCTCGCTGCTGCCCCCTGGCATCTTCATGCAGCTGCCCCAGCTTAACAAGCTCACACTCTTCGGCAATTCCCTGAAGGAGCTCTCCCCGGGCATCTTCGGGCCTATGCCCAACCTGCAGGAGCTTTGGCTGTACAACAACCACATCACCTCTCTCCCTGACAACACCTTCATCAACCTGCCCCAGCTGCAGGTTCTGATTCTCAGTCACAACCAGCTCAACTCCATCTCCCCGGGAGCCTTCAACGGCTTGACGAATCTGAGAGAGCTGTCCCTCCACACCAATGCTCTACAGGACCTGGATGGAAATGTCTTCCGGGCGCTGGCCAACCTGCAGAACATCTCCCTCCAAAACAACCGCCTCCGACAGCTCCCCGGCAGCATCTTCGCCAACGTCAACGGCCTCACGACCATCCAGCTCCAGAACAACAATCTAGAGAACTTACCCTTGGGCGTCTTTGATCACTTGGTGAACCTGTGTGAGCTTCGTCTCTATGACAACCCCTGGAGATGCGACTCGGATATCCTCCCACTTCATAACTGGCTCCTTCTCAACAGAGCCAGGCTGGGGACAAACACTCTTCCTGTGTGTTCCAGCCCAGCCAACGTCCGAGGCCAGTCTCTTGTCATCATCAATATCAATGTCCCTGCGCCCAGTGCCCAGGGTCCTGAAGTATCTAGTTCTAGCTACCCGGAAGTGCCACGTTATGCAGACCCTGATCTGTCGGGGTCATCCAGCTATCCCGACAGCACATCCATTTCCTCTACCACAGAGATCATCACACCCGTAGAAGACTACACCGATCTGACCACCATTGAAGCCACCGATGACCGCAACACGTGGGGCATGACCGACGCCCAGACGGGGCTGGCTATCGCCGCCATTGTGATCGGCATCATTGCTCTGGCCTGTTCCCTAGCTGCGTGCATCTGCTGCTGCTGCTGCAAGAGGAGGAGCCAGGCGGTCCTGATGCAGATGAAGGCTCCCAATGAGTGCTAGGGAAGCAGGCTCCAACAGGGCTGGGGAAGAGTGAAACCAGAGGACCAGAGAATGGCATCATTCAGCTTCCAAACCTGGGCCCACACAGACAAGATCTGATGGTCCCCCCCCCCATTTTTGTCCTGAGTCTTCTGTAGAGAAACAGGCATTTCAAGAGCTCCTACTTCCAGAGAAATCTAATTGGTCATTAAACAAACAAACAAACAACCCCAGATGGTTCTAGGTCAATGCCTCGGCATCCATCAGAGGGACCCTCCACCAAATCCTCACTCCTTCCAAGAACAAGCTTCCTTGCACCCGGCCCCTCCCAGCCTCTGCAGACTTAATGATGACAAGGCCTGCTCACATTATGAGATAGTTCTCTGCCGGGACAGCCCATGCCTCAAAGTATTATATAAGGTGATTTCTTTTCTCTTGCTTCTCTTTTTGCGCTTGACTCTGTCCCCAAGGACAGACTTAAGTTCTCTCTGTGAGAAAGTTTGGATCTTTTAGCTCACTTCGCTGGCTTGGAGGGCGCTCTGCAAGACAGAAAGACACCTCTGCTGTCTGTTCCCAGACAGAGTTGCCATCAGTGCCTGTGACAACAAGTTCAGCCTTTCAGAGAAGAATGTTTAAAGCCGCAGGCTCTCCTTCGAAGATCTTAGCCCTTTGTGATGTAAAAGTGCGCAGTTTCTAAATTCTCAAAACATGAAAACCAGCTCATTGATAATGGCTGAAGAACACAAGCCTGGGGTCCTTGTCCTCACCCCTACACTTTCCCTTTCTTGGGAGGGAAGTCAGGGCTGTGCTGAAGGATCACACACATACAGAAAAGTGGGAGTGTGATAGAGTACATCCTGGTGAAGTCTCACAATCTGAATAGGTATCTGTGTGATCAGCATGATACCAAGAAAATGGTATCACAGTGTCTCCACTCCAAGCTTGTTCTGAAGGACTTCTGGAGATGCTGTGGACTTTCTGGCTTTCCACGGGCTAGGGAGGGATCCTCACAGTCTTCCCTACCCCTCCGTGGGCAGCCTTTGCAAAGGCCCAGCTGTCAGGAGTGGAAGAGATGGAGGTACGGTCAGAACAAGAGGCAACCAAGCTGGCCAGACCAGAAGCACCCGAACTACAGTAGCCTGTGCAAGTACGCGTCCTCGCTGCCAACAAACGCTGTGCTGCTCATCAGTGCCCCTCTATCCATCCTTTTATGGGTATTATATGCCCATATCTGTTTCCAATTTTTGTTCTCCATTTGGGGGAAGAAAAAATAGCTCCGAGATGAGATCTTCCAATTGAATAACCAAGTGTAATGGAAACCAGGAACCCTTCTGCACTGTGGTCAAATTCTTCATCCACATGAGTCAGCTGGTAGCTAGACTACAGGGTGTTCACAGGCAGCAGATAGCAGGGCATGCTGGGAGGTCACATGAGGGTGTGGGCTGGCTCTGTGGAACCTTCTGTCTGGGTTCTGGTTATGAGCTGAATGGTTTAGTTTAGAGTTTTCTCTTTGAGTGACAGTCACAACACATCTGCCTTGCCTGTGTTTCTTGCCACACATGTGTCTATTTCCACACTTTTAACAGTTCCGAGCAAGGTGACAAAGCTCTCTCAGCAACGAAATGACCAAACACAGTGGCGCACACCTTTAATCCCAGCACTCAGGAGACAGAGGCAAGCAGATCTCTGAGTTCGAGGCCAGCCTGGTCTACAGAGTGAGTTCCAGAACAGCCAGGGCTATGTAGAAAGACCCTCCCTCAAAAACCAAACAACCAGGGAAACAGAGAATGTCAGTTTTTCCTCTCAATGAGAGGAGGACGTCAGCTGAGCACAGGGATCTGGTAATGTATCTCCAGCCTGCAGTGGTGTTTACAGGGCAAATGAGAAATCCCTTTGAGTCTTGGCAACAGAGAGCTTACAGGATATCCAGGCCTCCCCTCCAGTTCCCCAACAGAATAGTCCAGAAGGAATGCGTGTGAGAACCTGCACACCCTGCCCCAGGGAATCTGATGTCAGTCAAAAGCTATCATTCCCCCCAAGGCCAACCCAAAGTGTTTGCAAAGTATCTATAGCATCTGGTACACATGGACCAAGGCTGTCCCCAACTCCAGAGTGAGTGTGAACACGGTTCTGCTGACTGTGACCTGCGGGTGGGCCTTGAGGTGAAGAGAGGGAGCCGAGCCTGCTTCATGACACATGGAAGCTTGGCATGGTACTGTGCTCTCCAGAACAACCGTCTGATGCTCCTTGTGAGCTATGTCCAGCCTCAGTGGGCTAGGGATGGAGAGAGGTGGAATCCGCAGCATCCAGTGTCCCCTGCCAGTTTTAACCTGGAACCATTGGCCACTTCTGACATTGGCCGTGACAGTGATATATCTTGCTGGCCCAAAGGCTGGGCTGGGGGCAGCTAGCTGTCTTCTAATGGCCTGCCTGGGAGCTCACAGGTAGTGAGCAAGGCGACATGGGAGCCTTTTCCTTTCCCCCCACTACAGTGTCCAGATGGAGTCATCAGATCTGCTCCTTACTGATGGGCCTTTCGGTTTTTCTCCATCTTCTGGTCAGAGAGGGAGATGCTGGGAACACTGGTGGGTGGAGGACCCTTTCCAATAGGATAATGCATCTTGCTCATTTTCTTGGGGCTGGAATGAGCTCTGTGGTCCCTAGACGTCCGTGGTAAAGTGCAGAGCTCAGCTCCCTTGCCCTCTGTGCTCACTGGTTTCTGGACTTCTGTCACCAGCATTTGTGTGGAGAGGGGAGGGAAGTCGGGGCTGTAAGAAAGCCAATAAGGGCCAGCTAGAGCCACCGTGTTAACGGATGTTTGGGGCCTGGGTACCCTTCAAGGCTCTCGACGTGCATTCTCCTTTGAACCCTCTTGACTCCTGGTGAAATTCGTCCCACAGGTATCCTCTTGTGTGGGGGCCTTTTCTGCATAGTGCCCAACAAACTCCATACAAAGCCTCATGGGCTGTCTAGGGCTTTCATCAGGAGACCAAAGGAAATAGGCTGTACACATACAGCTGGGTTCTTGGAGTTTCTCACTGGCAGCCACACAGTTCCCACAGGCATCCAGATAGAACTGCAGAATCCACTTCCAGCCTTGGGAAAGACATAGAAAAGTAAGCCGATAACCCGAGTCAGGAAGCAGGCCTCGCGTGTATCCTAGACTTAGCTCCAAGCTACTCTAAGGTTCAGCCCCAGGCCCCATGGTCAGAACCAGATCTGGCCACTGAATGATGATGATCTAAAGGAAGCCACCAGTGTGGTTCAGACAGAGAGGGCAGCAGGAAGCTTCTGGGTGAAGCACCACCCAGTCCCAGGGCCCTTCCCCTAAGCAGAGAGTGTCCTCGCCTCCCACAGCCTTTGCTCTGCGTTCTAGAGCAGTCATGCTTGCTTTGTTCAACGATCTTTGCAAATAGTCCCAGATGCTTGGAATTGCGTTTAGAGATTTCTAGGCCCCTGGAGTTTTAATAGAATGTGAGCCCTGGTGGGCAGGGTTGGGGGTCTGTCCTTTGCTAGATGCCGCTTGTGATAGATTTGGTGTACAGAATCCACAATAAACATATACTCGGGATGAGTGTGTTCTCCGTGGACGTCTTGGTGAGGGGATCTCAAACCTGTGGATGTTGCCCTTGCCGCCTATATTAGAACTGGCCTGGATGGGATGGTTCCTCAGAAAAACTTGATCCTGGATGGAAAACAGGCCTTCAGGGGAAAATGTGGGGACTGAACAGCAATAGCAAACAATATCCACAGGCCACCGTGGCCAGGGGCGGGGCCTTTAGGAGTCGGTTTGGTCCTTTTGACAGATGAAGAAAGTGAACTCAATACAATTTGAATTTCCCAGAGTCACCTTGTGAACTAGTGGCTGGCTGTCCCTCTAATCACCCAAAGGCCACAGGGACAGGCTTCTGAAATTCCAGATAATGGGAAGAGGGGCCAAAGCTACATGCTTATTTCCTGGGGGATCCCCGAAGCTCTTGATGCAAATATCCCTCCATACCGAATATGCACATGTACATAGGTCTGCAGTCTGGACACATGACACACGTGGACAGACACAGACAGACAGACACACACAAGCATAGACACACACACAGACACAGACAGACACACAGACAGACAGACACACAGACAGACACACACAGACAGACACACAGACAGACACAGACAGATAGACACAGACAGACACAGACAGACAAGTGTGCGCGTCCGTGTGTGCTCTCCCCCATCCCCCTGTGCCTCCTGTGAGAGAGAAAACAGATTTATAGAGATCAAATCACTTGTCTTAAGATTAGCTCATTGAAAAGCCAGAATTCAAACTCCGCTCTGACACCAGATTCCTCGTTTGCTCTGACATTCTGACGAGTGAGACTAGCTGTGTTTCTAGAGGAGCCAAGGCCCTGAGAGCACAGGATAGGATAGCTGTCTCTCAGCAGTCTCCCAAGAGATGCGGGTCCCATGCCCTGCCATTCCTTGAAGCGAACATCTTGCCCCTACCAGGTCAGGGGCCACCCAGGGATGGCCTGGGTACCCCAGGGTTCACTGGTTGTCAGCCTCTTAAAGACTCCTGTCAGCCGTGGGGGGGGGGTGGCGGCGGTGGTTGGTGCACACCTTTAATTCCAGCACTCGGGAGGCAGAGCCAGGTGGATCTCTGTGAGTTTGAGGCCAGCGTGGGCTACAGAGTGAGCTCCAGGACAGCTGGGGCTACACAGAGAAACCCTGTCTCAAAAAACAAACAAACAAACAAAGACTCCTGTCTTCTGTACTGAAAGAAAATGCTTCCTACTGGTTGGTCAGAAGTTTGCACTGTGGGATGTCACCTGTTCGTGTGCAAAAGAAGTAATATGTGAGTAGTTTTTTAAAAGCGAGCAACAGTTAAACAGCTTCGGATGACTTTGGGTAATAGATCACGGCACTGAGGCACGATATTGCTTCTCTAGGTCACCCCTTCATGCCATACATCCTGTGAACACTCATACATAATTACATACACATGCACACACAACACAGCCCTCACTTGATCATACCCACCACACACTCTCATTTTTATTGTACATAATACATCCAAGTGCATACACACACATACAGCTCCACTTATTCTCACATGCTCATTACACACACCTCCACTCACAGTCTCGCATGCTCAGTTCACACACAAGCACACACACACACACACACACACACACCTCCATTTACCCTCTCCCATGCTCACTTTACACCACCCACACACACTATATACATATATATATATATACACATATATATATATGTATACATTGTCTGTCTGTGTAATAAGAGATTGGTACACTTTTAGGTTTTCTCTTGGTGGCAGTACTAAATGCTGAGCAGGTGGCCTCTTAGCCCACACCTCTGTTCCAAAGGGAATGGCCCTCATCTCTGTGCAGTGCAGCCTAGAGGCAGTTTTTGTTTTTGAGACAGGCTTCCTCTGTGTAGCCTGGGCTGTCCTGCAATTCCTTTTGTAGACCAGGCTGGCCTCAAACTCACAATCGGCCTCCCTCTGCCTCTGGGCACTGGGATTAAAGATGTGTGCCACCACGCCACCACTGCCCGGCTTCTAGAGGCACTCTTTAAGGTGTAATCGATATTTAGGGTCACAGAGCTGCCTCGGTGGGATGTTACCCTGCCAGACATCTGTCTACGGGAAGCATTCAGGGTCATTTTGTAATCTTCAGAGGCCTTGTCCAAGTGACCTTGGTGTCATTCCGGGAATAGTCAGTCCACATGAGGGGAGGAACCCTTCCCGGGACTTTGGCCGGCGTCGAGGCTAGATCCAGCTGAGCACGGAGCATAGGAAATACTGCTCTGCTTCTGAGAAAAAAAAACAGAGCTTCTGGCCCCTGCTGCCCAGCCCCTCACGGTAGGCCTCCTGCCTCACTCCTGGGTCTGTGGGGATGCAGGGACATCTGGCTTAGGGGCCTGGCTGGGACACAGGAAAGGGACTTGCTGCGCTTCCCCCAGAAGGCCACAGTAGCTGAGTCCCCTTTCCTGGGAGGAGAAGCCCCTGAGTGGGTCAGCTAGCCTTGGCCGGGAAGGGCCAGGGAAGGTGTGCCAGGGAGATTCTAATGGGGAGGGTGGCCCGTCCTGGCTCTCAGGGAACTGAGTGGGGGCAGGCAGCGTGGCCACAGGTTCATGGTCCACCCTGGTTGGTGTCCGTTGTCCTGCATAATTAATGCTACCCCCTTTTCGTCTCCAGTGGCAGGCTTACATGATGTCGTTCACATTTTCTCTAGAACTGAATCGAACGTTTGCCATTTCCAGGCACTATGCAGTGCTTTAAATGGACTAATCAGGGGCTAATTTTAACCTTACAGGCTGGGATTCTAATCAGGATGAGGAAATTAGGGCTTTGATGGGTGGGGTGGGGAACCTTTTGAGCCCACACAGCTAGTAAGCACAGTGTCTGAATTTGAACACAGATCTGGCTAGGCTGACAGAGCCCAAGTGTTTCTCCTCTCCATTAAAGGAGCAGATGAGGGGTGGTCACAGAGAGCCACAAACGTCCCATTTCTTCAGCCTGGTACCGTTTCTGTGCCCAGCCCTGACCCAGGTGCTGGGATGCAGAGCTGGGAGTTAAAATACTTCAGGACTCTGACCCCTGGGGGTTTGGTTGGAATATTATTTACTGGAACACAGAGAGGAAAGACCCAGCACTTAGCAAAGGACACACTGGAGGTGTGGCAGAGGGGGTCAGTGACATACCCCGTCCATGCCTTCTTATGTAAAGTGCCCCCTCTCCCACAAAACCAGCGCGGCAAGGCACCAAGCTCCCATGATCCTTTGCAATGCCAGGTGAAGGAGGGGCGGTCGGGGAAGGCTTGCTGGGGACCCCTGGCCTGGAAAGGGTGCGGGGAACAGGCAGTGTGAGGGAATGGTAGGCACAGACAATTTGCAGCATCACCAAAAGACTGGAGGTGTGGCAGAGGGGGTCAGTGACATACCCCGTCCATGCCTTCTTATGTAAAGTGCCCCCTCTCCCACAAAACCAGCGCGGCAAGGCACCAAGCTCCCATGATCCTTTGCAATGCCAGATCTGAGAGGTACAGACCAGCCAGTCCTGCTGTGGGGTGCTGGAGTTGGTGTTTGTGTGCGGGGTCAAACCTCACACCTTCCAGGGGACCCTGGGACCTGTGCCTAATGTTTTACACAGTTACCTCCATTATATAAGAGAGCTTCCTTGTTCCCCACTTTACAGCTGATGCATGTTTATGATTCAGAAATATGTACATATTTTTAAAGCAGAGCCAATGTAGATTTATTTAAAAAAAGTAAGAAAGAACTCCCGGGAGTGAGAGAGGATCCAAGGAAGAGAGGCCCCAGAACACTTTAAAAAAAAATAGAAAATCTTTTATTTATCCTTTGTCAATTTCTTGCATGTAAACCATGTATCTCGATCATATCTATCCCCAAGTTCTGTCACTTCCCCCAAGTATCCCCAACACATCCACCTTCATGTCCTTGACATTTTTATTTTTTAAATAACCCACTGAGTCCAGTCAATATTGCCTGCAGGAATGTTGACTAATCCTGTTGGCTTGACCTGGTGCCAGTCTGGTGAAGGTAACCCAGAGCTGCAGCAGGTTCACGAGGTCAACATCCATGTCAGGTCCAGAAGTCAGTATCTGGTAGCACTTCTCTCCTTCCTCTGGCTCTTAAGTTCCTTCCACCCCCTCTTCCAAGGTGTTCTTGGAGGGGGTCATTGATGGGGATGTCCCGTTTATGACTGGGCACTCAATAACCATTCATCTCAGCACTTTGACCAGTTATGCGTCTGCGTCAGCTGCTGACCCCTGCAGAGAGAAGCTTTTTCTGGGCAAGGCTGAGGGCGGCACTAAATGTGTGTGTGTGTGTGTGTGTGTGTGTGTGTGTGTGTGTGTGTGTGTGAGAGAGAGAGAGAGAGAGAGAGAGAGAGAGAGAGAGAGAGAGAGAGAGAGAAAGCAGTGTTTTTCAGAAATGATTAAATTCTATTGATTTCACAAAGGACACAATTAAGCAGACAATTAAAGGACACAATTAAGATCATATTTCTCTAAAGTTAGTTATCACCTTAAATGCCAATAGCCCAAAGTATAATATCACATGAAAGAATGTTGATATGAAATAGTAGAACTAGAAAACTCTTTAATTTCCTGTCTTGGGCCTAAGTGCAGCCAGCATTGCAGTGTCTTAAATGGTGGCTGTGTCTAGATTCATCTGGAAAATGGTTCAGAGAGCCTGGACATCAACAGGTGGAACTGGACTTTTCTTTTTAAAGATCCAGGGGATTTTTAACTCAGGAGAGGGAGGCCATGCAGCAGCTCCCCAATGCTGCCTTTGATACTTTCTTTAAATGAACTAAAAATATACTTTATAAAGTAGTATACAAATCCTCATTTAATGCTGGGTGTGGTGGCATGCACCTTTAATCTTAGCACTTGGGAGGCAGAGGCAGGCAGATCTCTGTGAGTTTGAGGACAGCCCGGTCTACAGAGCAAGTTCAAGGACAGCCAGGGCTACACAGAGAAACCCTGTCTCGAAAAACAACAAGTTCCTCATTTATTGATATTCTATTAATCCACGCTACAGACCTTGTTTGGTCTTTACCACCTGCCACTAATCTAATGAGCTAGTAACAGATTTGGGAACTGGTCCTGAATCCGCTCCTGTGGTATTCTCTCCCAGTTACAGACTGTCACTATACCATCCTTGCTGGTGGACACATATTTTTAAGCAAAAGAAAAAAATTAAAAGTAACTCATAATTCTGTTTTCCCACTTATAACCACCGAAAATGTTTTATATAATCTATTACCGTTTATATGCATGTGTGTATATTAAAAGCTGAAGCTTAGACAGGCCTGGCCATCCAGGCTGGTAATCCATTTCCTCTGGGACTGGACTAAAGCAGAGGGTCTGGAGTTCATGGCGTGGCTGGGTTACAGAGTGAACTCAAGGGCAACCTGGGCAATTTAGTAATGCCATGTCACAAGATAATAACAGGCTTGGGAGGCAGCGGAGAGGTAGAGTGTCTCACACTCATAAGGTCCTGGGTTTAATCCTCAGTACAGGAAAAAATAGAAATGCATTCTTTGGAGCTAGACAGATTTCATTGATTCTGCAAACATCCTATCAATAAATATGCCCCATCACTTTAAAGATGCTGTCACACCAGCATCACCCACACTCCTTCATGATAGACATTTAGACTTTTTTAATTTTATAAACTCTATTACTGAAAAAAAAACTTTCAAATAAATAAAAACATCAAATACCAAAATTAACCAGACCCAAAGTCTGTACAATTCAATTATGTCTGTGTGTGTGTCTATGCATGTGAGTGAAATTGCCTGTGGAGACCAGAAGAGGGCGTTGGATTCCCTGGAGCTGGAGTTACTGACATGGGTGCTAGAAACTGAACTCGGCGGGAGGAAGTGGGGGTCCTCTGCAAGAGCTGCACATGCTCTTAACCACGGAACCATCTCTCCAGCCCTGCTGCTTCTATTTCTTTAAAAAAAAAAGATTTATGTATTCTCTCTCTCTCTCTCTCTCTCTCTCTCTCTCTCTGTGTGTGTGTGTGTGTGTGTGTGTGTGTGTGTGTGTGTGTGTGTGTGTATTACACCACATGCAAGAAAGTGCCTGCAGAAGCCCTGAAGAGGGCAGCGGAGTCTCCGGGAACTGAAATCACAGGCCACCCCATGTGGGTGCTGGGAAATGAACCCAGGTTCTCTACAAGAGCAGTATGTGCTCTTAGCCACTGAGCCCTCTCTCTAACTTCACGGCTTCTATTGTTTGATAGTCTGTTGCCCGTGGTCTCCTTTGGGCGCAACAGTAGCAGTAATAATGTGCTTTAGGTGTTGTGATTGTCATCATTGTGTGGGTCTCAGAGTTTGCTCCACTACCTGGGCCTCAAGAGGGTCTGGAGGTGGAGTGGGGGGTCAGGGAGGGGCTGTGCAAGTCCCACCCTACCTGCCTGAGGCCCTCCGCCCTTAGATTAGTTTGCTGGGTCGAGAGGGAAGATGGCCAGGAATGGGGAGCAGCCAGGGACACAGAGGAGCCTCGGAAGCCCCTCTTCTTGCTTCCTATGCGCCTTGGAACAAGAGGCGGCATCCAGCCAGCCTGGGAGGTGGATCCCAATGCAGTCAGCTCCCGGCAACAGCACACTGAGGTCGGACGCTGGGCTCCCAGAACCCTGAGGAGGGAGGGAGGCTTGACTCTGTGATGGATGACAGATAGATAGGTTTGGGGCACACTGGAATGTACCACAAGAGCCGTTTGAGAAGATGAAGTCTGTTTGTACCCAGTCAACCAAGACAGTCAGATGAATAATACACATTTCGGAATGGAGGAAAGGCCAGATGCTCCTCCTTGACTTGCTGGAGTATGGGGCACTGTTGGGGCCATTCACTGGTCTTTCTAGATGCAAAGCAGGCACCTTCCACAGCTGTGACCTCTGGTGCAGGCCTCCACTGTCTCTGGAGGTGGGAGCACCCGGTGACTTGTTCTCCTAAGAGAGGGTTAGGAAGGGGACCCACACCAAGGCTCTGAGGGTCTGTGCCTTTCTTGTCACTGAGAAGGAGAGTCTTGGGAATGGGGCTGTGGGGAGGGTCGCTCTGCCCCGTGGTGGAGCGATCCCATGTGCTCATCAGGTTTTCCACGGCAAACCTCTGATGACCTCTGACCCGAGCTGAGCCTTGCTGAGCTCAGGAGAACCATAACCACTCTCAGGCCAGATCACCCACACCCTACCCACTCTGGACTTGGGATTTTCTATATATTCTCTCATTTTATCCTTACGAGAGTCCCACCTAGGAAACAGTATAGTGCTCACTGCTTTAATGGTGGAGAAAGCGAAGCGCAGAGAGGTTGCACAATTTCGCCCAAGTACGCAGCTAAGCAGGATTGGAACCCATCCTGTCTGCCCACAGAGTGCTAGCTCTTGGTTACTCTGGAGTGAGAACAAGTCTAAGGCTGGGAATGGATCATTTCCTCTCTGCCTTCCCATCCCATCCCTGCAGACTAAGACAAGCGGGATCTTGTCTTAAACCTGAGAAGGCACTGTTCTGGCCCCTCTCCTAAGGATGCTCCCAAAGGTTGAGAAGATGGCAAAGCAAAGGGCCCTTGCTCATCTTTAAGCCATCTTAAGCCATGCCTTGGGTACCAGGATGTGAGCTAGCATGGAAAGCTAGCTTCTCAGAGCCCTCTTTCCTAGACTGCCTCTGCCACAGAAGCACATGCCCTTTGCCCGTGGAACAGAAAAGGCAGCTGTATGTAGTGGGTCTACTCAGCCCTGTGAGATTCAAGTGGGAAGAGACGTGGACAGACAGAGGGTGGGAGAACTCTGGGCTTGTAACTGTGAGGAGCGACCCTACCCTTTTCCTGTCAGATACGAAAGCCATGTGGGCTCAGTGAAGACCTTTAGAGCACAGACATGGTTCTAACCCTGACCTCTTCATGTCTGAGTCGCATGCTGTGGCAGTCCCGATTTTCCTGTCCTGGGCTTGTCTAGGCTTCTCCGAGGAGCAAGTTGCATGCCTGAGAATTGTGGGAGTGGGGAGACAGCCCCCCAGACCTCCTCCTGGTCCCTGAGCCCCACAGGGGCCAGACACTCCTCCAACACCTGGGTGGATCTGCTGCACCTGGATTTCTGTGCCACCAGGGGTGACAGTTTTCTTCAACGCCTGGATTCTTGACCGTTGCCTTACTCGGAAACTTCTTAAGCCCTTGTTTTCTCAGGACAGTGTATGGAGGAGGCCCCAGGCTAAAGGAATGGGAGGAGGAGGGCTGAGCCAGCCTTGGTGGCCCAATGGGTGACTCTTGTCCTCAGGAGGCCTTGGCTGTCCTTTTGTGGTACTTCCAACCATGACTCCAGGTTTCCCCTTGGCAATGCCAGGAGGGCCTGTGGTCTGTTGAGGGACTCCTGGGTTGTGTCACCCTCTTAATTACTGTTCGCAAATAATTGTTGCAAAGAGATATAATAATCAAGGCGACTTCTAGAAGGAATCATTTAGTTGGGGACTTGCTTACTTGTTTACATGATTATCATGGCAGGGAGCATGGGAGCAGGCAGGCAGGCATGGTGCTGGAGCAGTAGCTGAGAGCTCACATCTGATCCACAAGCAGCAGACAGAAAACTGGACTTGGTGTGGGCACCGGTGATACACCTCCTCCAGCAAGGCCACACCTTCTAATCCTCCCTAAACAGTCCATCAGCTGGGAAACAAACATTAAAATATAGGAGCCTATGGGAGGGGGGCGGGGCATTCTCATTCAAATCTCCGCAGTCGCTATCCCCGTGAAAAGGCCTTCAGGACCCTCATATCCCCTGAGTTGTATATGTACAGCTTTTTATTCTGAGGGACCTTTTTCTGGAAACTTCCCTTGAGTACCAGTGGCCAGAGGTTTTAGTCAGGAAGGGTGGTGGGCAACTGGACCCCCTTTGGCATGTTCACAACAAGAGCTGCGCATCTCTTAGTCTCGTGAGCTCTCGAGGCTGCGTTTCTGGACCGCAGATAGCCAGGGTCTGCATGGGCTCATTCCAGGAAAGGCAGCTGCCTCCCGCTGCCTTGTGGAGTTCCACTCATTGAATCCGATGGAGTCTGCAGGAGTCATTCCAGGCTGCCAGCAGAGGGCAACAGAGAAACAGCGGGAGGTTTTTCTTGCTTGCTTATATATTTCTATTTTTAGTAAAGTCAAATGTATTCTAGATACAAGATATTTTCTTATGACTATTTTTTTGTTGTTGTTCAAATGGTCTTTTTGTAATGACGGTGCCTTGCAACCTAACAGTTAGCATAGTTTCCTAATTACTCACTCATTCTGTGTCCCTGATCTAAACGTGCTCATTCAGTGCTCATAACGACCACGATGTTGTCAGCACTGTTATTATCCCCGTCTTGCACATAAGGAAGTTGAAGTACAGATAATAACATGCCCAAGGTCACTAGACTAGAAAGTCATGAACCTGGGATTTGAACTCCTGGGGTTTGAACTTCCACAAGTCACGTAAACAGGTGAGAAGATACCACTGTGGTTTGCAGAGTGCATGTTTTCTGATGGCCAGGGACTGCTGAGGCCCAGTTGGTCTTGCCAGGTGGGGCCGTGAACCTGCTGTTTCTAGATAATTCTGAAATGTGGATTTTCAATATGGGATTCACAGTTTTTAATGTGTGACCTACAAGTCCGCCAAGGACGAAACAAAACGCACCTGTAGGCTACGCTGCTCATCTGTGATGTTAGTAGATTCTGATGGGTGTCTTTTGTAGTTGTTTGCTTTTAGCCAGGACCTCTCAATATAGCCCAAGTTGCCCATGAACTTACTAGGTAGCCCAGGCTGGCCTAAAACTTCCAATTAAAAACTAAAAC